TATATTTGGGGTTCTCAAATTAATCAAACAGAAAAACTCAAAGCGTTTTAATTCATTGCTAATTGGTTTAAGATTATTTCTAAAATATACTCAAAAAATGAAATTAATAAGTAGAGAAGGTAGTAGGAGCTTAGCTAGGAGATGGGCCCTAATCTCAATTTTTGATCGACTAGTTTTTATGTTTTTGTTGAATGGCAATTCTATGCCAATTAAGTGTAGGCAAGAGAACAACTTTGACATGCAACCAAATTAGCTTTAAAAACTCAACAGGTTGAGTTATCATCTTTCCTTGGTAAAAAGTCGGGACACGTCAACCCCAGAGATTAAATAGCTTTAACCAGCGAAGCTACTTTCCTTATCAAATTATCAAAGCTCTAACTACCTTCACCCTCTGCATTTGAGGAAGGCACGCCTCACAACACATGTCAACCATGTATTTGATTAATACGTACGGAAAATATTTCTAATGGTATGTACATGTGGATTGTGGGGCGTCTCTCCCTCTCTCTCTCTCTTTCCATATAAAGTATAAACAAACCCCAGCAATAAAAACATTGAAAATGGTTGTTGAAACTGTGAGTTTAGATTGTCCTGACTCCTGATTCTTGAGAAAAGTAAAAGAGAAAGCAGCCCCCTCAAGCCTCGTGTCCCATGTAGATGGGTTGTTTGGAGATATATCTTTTTTAGTTTTTGCACATATTCCACCTTGTCATGGAAGAACGTGATTAATTGTTTGTTAATAATATTATTCAAGAGCGGAGCCAGAAAATTTTTATAAAGGGGTCAAAACCTAAATGAAGTATGAATGGACCAACCATTGAAACAGAGAATGGGGAAAGGGAAAATTTTACATAAAAAAAAAAAAAAAAAAAAAACTGTATTGTTGTAAAGATTTTCTGAATTATAGAGGGGCCATGGCTCCCCTTCCCATGACTTTTATTATTGTACTTAATTTAGTTGGGGAAGCCAACATCCTAGCTTCTTGCTGCTTCATATATAATTGGAAAAGTCTAATCTACTATAATGTATATATGTTCCTTTGAATCTGCTCTCTATCAGGATTTCCACTCTCTCCCCTCATGCATCACGGAAGATGTCCTTGGTTTCAATGCATTTGCATGTGATTTCGTTGAGACCATGTTTACTTCTTTCACTATGTTTTTTCCACCGACAACCGCCCATGAAAAATGAGATATCTGTGTTAATTTTGACCTCTTGCTCATCAAAATAAATAGATAAATAAAAGCCATCTCTGTGTGTCTAGAATCGCTTATCAGGTCGAATAACTTATATGGTCTGTCTGTAATAAAATAATTATAAATCCCAATCACATGGGTCTGACCTAAGGCTATGTTTGGTTTGAAGGAAAATGTAGAGAAAAGGTAGGGAAATCTATACAAGATTTGTAAAGGTTTTCCTCCCTTTTCCTACTTTTTCCTTCAAACCAAACATAATCTACATGTTACTAATTAACTGGACCCTTATATCATCTAATAAATGCTACATTGAGATTCCATTTTACTTCCTAAATTTGAATATTGGGATCGAATTTAATTTTATCATACTTATATATCATATGGCATTGACTAAAATATCATATTTATTGATCAAATAAATTTAAAATGCTTAAAATCATACATATTGACAAAATCAATTTATGGCAACTTTAATGAGAAGTTCAAAATATTGAAATGTATCAGTGTGTATATTGATATTTGGATTCATTGTAAAGTAAATAAATCATATATATATATATATATATATATATATATATATATATATATATATANATATATATATATATATATATATATATATATATATATATATATATATATATATCACCTTTAAGGTGATGGGTTGAACTTTTAATTTAATGTGTATCAAATATTTAAAATTCAAGAACTAATTTATATGAAAATTGGAGAGAAAAAATACTAAATATAAATAAGCACAATGAAAAACAACTAATACAAGAGAAATTTAGAGTTCAGTCCACCCCATAAAATTTTATCAGTTTTTCAATTTTATTTGCCCACACCTCCACCTATGATTCACCACCCAGCAAATTTTGATTCATCCCCCCACCTATCACTCTTGGAATTGTACAAACTGTACTAAATTTCTACCCATGGGTAGGCTGAACAATAAAAACCTACAACCCCGACTTTTCACCAGCTGTCACAGATATAGTAAGGTTCTCTCTTTTATAATATTAAGCTCATGATATGGCGTATGCTTAATGCATTACACTGGAGATTAAGTTGTTACAAACAGGATCCCAAATAAAAGGCTAACTTAGAGGCTAAACAAACAACCCAATTATAATATATGGTATGGGACTTCTAATTAGAAATATACATCTCAAACATTTGCCAATACAAAGTCATTTTTGTTTTGAAAAAACAAAAGCATACATATTGAAAACAACCCCCTAAATAAATGAAATAAACAAGGAATTAAATTTGAACAAAATTTTCAATAAATCCTTTCATTTCTACTTTTCTCAGGCCCTTCTTAGCAGCTCTTAACCACTTGAAATGATGCTTTTCATTAGTATGTTTAAATCAGTTTGATATATATAATTACTCCATCACTGCAGAAGTAATTAATAGTCTCTTTGAGGATGAGCATCTCTGAACCAGGTTTCATACATATATAGGTGGCATGTCCTCATTATCATTATGCATGTAATATGTGTTATTCCTGTTGATGGGAAGGGAACCATATGCCATCTAATTAAATTCCAAATCAACTAATAAGATTGTTTTCCAGGGTTGTTGATATATAGCTCGTTGGCTAGCTTCATCTGAATAATTCAGTAACATGCCGCACTGCAAATCCATGTAATATATGTTACCATGTATACCAATATGCATTGGCTAGATCTCTCGCTCCTGTGAGTAAAGAAATAGATAGGCTTCTAGTCCTATATTCCAATGATCGGATTGCCTGCTTCTTTGGAGATCTATTAATGTTGCTATTTATTATACATTAAGGCCCCCTTTGGTTATCAGGAATACATTAAGGCCTCCCATCCACTAGGTATTTGTTAAGAATTGGTTTCATGTGAGTTCATGTGCTGTTAAACTTTATTAAGTTTTTTCAAAAACCCAATATTATCCCTCTATAGCAGATTGATGGTTTGAGTTTGTAATGATTGGATTAAATAGGGGAGAGAAAGGGGAAAAAGAAAAATGAAGAAACAAAAAAAAAAAAAGAATGGAGAGGAACGAAAAGGAAGGAAGAGAGAGAGAGAGAGAGAGAGAGAGAGAGAGGTGGTAGATGGGGTCGCACCGGTTCTTATTAATCGGGAGGTTGAAGAAAGTAGATCAACAATGTTGTACCATGCTATAGTAATAACTACAACACATTGAAGGCAAAAGAACAACAAGAATGGAGTGGTGATTCAATCTATGTTTTGATGGGGTCTATATGTACAATAGAAGTTGGATTTTTATTTTATTTTACTTAGATTTGAGTTTCATGGAGTGTATGAATACTTTTACATTTTCAATGAGAATACTTCTTTTGGATATTAGAATAGGGCTTAAGTTTTTACGACTCTTCAAAAATGATGAGCTTGCTGCTGCTACAATGACCGACCAATAACTTTGAAGTTTAGATTTCAGGGTTTTAGAAATTAAACCCTTCAATGAAATGATTATTGATAGTTTTATTATTATTATTATTATTTAAGACAGATTTAGTTTCAGAGATATTTTTATAACTGTGTGTCTATGTCATCGTTGTTCTAGCCCAAGTAGCCTAGGTTTAGTCTTTTGCATAGCTTCATAGGGAAAATCTAAATTTTCATTCTCTAACAACCTTCCATCTACCCAAGGCTGTGATTTCACGGTTTTAGTAGGCTTAGCTGATTTATATTAATGAGATCAACTTTGTGAATCAACACTTGTGAGTAGCCCTCAAAATGACTGTATAAAGGTTGAGCCAAGCTACAATGATCATTCTTATTTCAAAATGATAAAGCTGATGGTACTCTTTCAAATTTTGAAACTTTGAAAGATCAATTTGACAATAAAACGCCATCCCATTTAAACGTTGTGATGATCAGACCTGTGCAAACCTCAAGGAAGGTTTAAGTCTTTACCCTAATTTTTATTTGTGCAATATAGAAACTCAGACCTGTACTAAAATCATGGGCCTCACAATAGTCCCAAGCCCATTTTGAAGAGGAACATGCATTGAAGCCCATCTGGCCATAAAAACGTTGTGATGATCAGAGTGTTCAGTGTTGCTTAGGTGAGGTGAAGACTAGGACTGTCAAGGGGTCGGGTTGGGTCTAGGTAGAATTAGTCTCATACTGATTATTAATTGGGACAAAATTACATATCTAAAATTGTTCCAGTTAATAGTCAGGTCTATTCTAAAAGTTATACCTATTTAAATAATAAATTAAAATTTAAAATTTGATATATAACCTTAATAAAAATGTTAGAAAATTACTAAATTATTTATATGTTAATAAATTAAATATTTTCAACTAATACTGTCTTATTTATTATCTATAAAACTTATCATTTCAAACATAAAATTATAAAAAGAATAAGAAAATAATCAGTTCCGTGGTGTTTGAATCGGTTCCAAACAGACAAGAATTGAAACCGACCCAAACCCAATTATTAATCGGGACAAAATCATGAAACAATCGGTTCAGGTCCGTCCGACAGATCCGACCCGTGGAGACAGCGTCATTAACTCGCTTGGAAAGTTGGAATGCATTCAGGTGCATAGTTTTGCTTTGACAGTTTGACGTATTCCCACGGTCCCGTCCCATCCCAACTTTAATATTCCATCTGCAAGCTTGATGGAAACCCCATTCCCGGCATGAATTATCTGCCATGAAAACAAAACTCCACCAACCCCACACCCATGAAATAAAAACTCCGTAGATAGTTGGAAACTTGGAATAAAACAAAGAACATGACCTAAAATTGGACCATTCGGATAACACGGGTAAGACAGACAACGAATTCCATACACCGTCATAAATTTTAAACTGTATATATGGCCGGCAGGATTAGTTGGTAACCATTGAAGGAGAGAGAGAGATGCCAGAGTTCTGTGTAACGGGAGGAACTGGATTTATAGCGGCTCACCTAGTGAAGTCATTGTTAGAAAAGGGCCACACCGTCCGGGCTACAGTGCGAGATCCCGGTACCCTTTCAACTGTCTCTTTGTCTTCGCTTTTACTCCCAAACACATGTTTATTTATGGCCCATCTGTATATCTCAACCACACAGAACATGAATCGGAATTAATGCATCGACAAATTAAGAGTTTCTCAGGCATGTTTGCATGAGTTCTTGTAGTGATTCTTTTTTCCTTTTCTGTTTGTTGGAGGAGGAAGCGAGTTGATTTTTCTAACTCCCAAGTTTCACCACTTTACCACTTCTTTCTCCTTTGGTCATATGCATATATAGCTTGAAAATTTAGAGCCAGTCACCGGGGTTTCTCATCCTGATCATAACTCTTCTGTGATTAAAATTCTAGTATACAGAGTCTTTCCAATTAAATTTGGCTTTTAATTATCTTACAGACAAGGACTGGGCTGCAGATCTGAGGGAATTAATTATAGTACATAGCCTTACAATCTAATTAGTATTCGGTGTATTGGAATTCTGCCATTCCCATGTGAGGATCTACCAAGTTTGCCCCATGTGTAGAGTCGTCTCACCTCAATGCTCACACAGAAGACAAATCCTTATCCTCTCATTTCTCACAGAGAACATCTCCTCTTTTCTAATAAAATGCATCATTACCCTCCTCGATAAGATCGTTGTTAAAACTCTCTAGGCTTCAAAAAATAAATGTTTTATTCTCTTTCGAATTGTCTATGTTTGTGACATCTCCCCCAACCCATTAAATTGTTTCTTTCTTTTTAATATCTCAACCATTTTGTCTCCCTCTAATAAAGTTAATAAAGTAGATGTATAAATGAGATGGATTGGGTCATATGTTGAAGCCCAATCCAACACCCCCTAAGTGGTTTGCATCCAAAACCGATGTCAAAACTCAAATTTACCAACTCAGATCTAACCAAATTTTCATTTAACCCCATACAGTGCCGCGTGTATTTACTTGCTCGCATTTATGGAATGAAATCCCACTAAATCTCTACCATTACAATCGAATTCATGCTTGGGTTGTCTAGCTGTGGGTGTATGGTTGATTATTTAGTTTTGAGTGGATCTACCATTACGATCTGAACTAATGAAATCGGTTTGACCAGACATAAACCCACCAGTATCTTTTGATTATCCAAGCATATGGAAGGAAATTGTAACTAATTGACCTACTACTTAACTAAATAAGTATCGGCCAAAGCTAAAGATATCTTTGTCTTCTTTTGGCTTTTTTTTTAAAAAAAAGGAATATTCTCTTCTTTTTTCTTTACAATATATAATTAAGAGATAATTAATATCAGAGATCTGATTTTGCAGACGAAAATAAGAGGACCAATTTAATTAAAAGTCAAATAAGTGTTGCATTTGAAATGGGTTTATAGCCCTTGCGATGGAAACAAGCTTTTAAATGGGTTGGGTCCATCAAATGGGTTGGACTCATTGACCATGATGCTACAAAACAACTTGCATCAACAGTCCAGGAATTATCGCTATGTTCCAACCGAACCTTTGACGTGATTAATGCCCTTCACGTGACCCATCCAAAGGTATTCTGACATAACATGCCCAATTATATATACCCCAACTTGCTTTTAGATATTAATTTTCTTATTAGTTTATTACAAATTGATATGATTAGTTTAGTTTATATAACTCAGCATTATTGCAGCAAATATGCTGCACTTGTATTAAACAAAGTGATTGTTCAGGACTCTGAAAACAATTTCATCCACGCACTATTTTTTTTTGTACGACTGCTGAGGCGACAACCCAAAATGGCTCCATATGGTTCTGCAGATTATGCTCTTGCCACTTGGCAAATTTCAGACTAATAGACGTCCTCAATGTATGGAAATGGAGACATTTTTTTAAACTTACCTATTCAAAAAATCATAGTAAAAAACATATTAGGTGACCCACACCTGATTCCTCTGTACCCCCACAAAAAGGGTACACAGTGAATGAAGTTTGCAAAACTGGGTTTAGTTTTGAGCAAATATAGAACCACTGATATTGTTTTTCTGTTCCCACGATCTTTTTGACTGCATCATCTGTCTTTTTTCCCCCAGGGGATGTTGGGAAGGTTGGTTTCTTATGGGAGATGAGTGGGGCCAAGGAAAGACTAAAACTGATGAGAGCTGATCTTATGGTAGAGGGAAGCTTCGATCAGGCTATACAGGGTGTGGATGGCGTCTTCCATACAGCATCCCCAGTTATCGTACCGTATGACAACAATATTCAGGCAAGTAAAAGTAGAAAAATGATGAATTGATCAGGTACCAGCATTATCTTATTAGTGGCATCTTAAGTAGCTGTAGATCATTACATGCACCATTTAGAAAAGTAGATTGAAGTGTCCATGAATCCTGCGGTGACAGTACAGGATAGCAGAAATACAGGAAATGGATAGCTGCATGACCCTCGTAAGTTGTACCCGAAAAAGAAAGGGTAGAACCGTAGAACGAGCCATGCGGCAAATTGATTTTATTTATGTTTTTTCCGGCTATCCTATCACCAACAGGTGGGCCACCAATCACATGGACAACATAATCTGATTCACAGCCTCACAGGAATAGTAACTTTTAACCCGGCTTCACCTTTTAAGTTTACTACGGGTTGCCTTTTCCAACCCACCTAACTCTACTCTTAGGCCTTAGCCTTAGGCATCAAATTGGGGTTGGGCATTCGTGAACCAGACCAGACAAGTTGGGAAGCGATGCAACCCTCCTATGATGAAAATGTTTAAAAAAAGTTCATCCTTTGGAATTGGACTATATTTAAATTTATAACTAATCGGGCACAGCCACAGCATACCACAGGAAACGTTGATCGAACCGGCTATAAGAGGCACAGTGAACGTGCTGAAATCTTGCTCCAAAGCTACTACAGTGAAGCGGATTGTGCTCACCTCCTCTTGCTCTTCCATTAGATACAGCGACGATGTTTCAAAAGCCTCCCCACTTGACGAATCGCATTGGAGCGATCCTGAGTACTGCAAAAGATATAATGTAATAACCTCGACCCTTGGCACCACAACACAATTCCCTTTCTATCAGTAATTCAGTATACACTACTATCAGCACAAAAACAACTGTATCATAGGCATAGGCTTCTGGGTGGGTTCATCAGTTCATCTCATCGATTTTTAACTTGTTTCGTACAGTTATGGTACGCATACGCAAAAACACTAGCAGAGCAGGAAGCCTGGCAACTGGCAAGGGAGTGGGGCATTGACCTCGTGGTTGTCAATCCATCCTTTGTCGTCGGTCCCTTGATTGCACCCCAACCAACCAGCTCGCTCCGCATGGTTCTAGGAATAATAAAAGGTTAGGTGGAACACCATCCTTCAATTTATAGAGCATGGGCCACGCTCATCCTGCCTTTTCTGTGCAAACTGTAAATCAGTAAATCTGCAATCATGCCATCCCCACTCACATCACTTGTTTCCCATCTCTGGATTAGGTGCCATAGGGGAGTATCCAAACACTACGGTGGGATTCGTCCACATAGATGATGTTGTGGCTGCACACTTGTTGGCCATGGAAGAGAGCAAAGCATCGGGCAGGATTATATGTTCAAGCTCGGTTGCTCATTGGTCAGAGATAATTGAGATACTGAGGCCCAAATACCCATCCTATCCATTTGAAACCAAGTAAGTTGGCCAGCCAAAATTCCTTTCACCCCTAACAAATGATTTTTTTTTTAATTGTGTCAGATGACAGTGGTTAAACCAGCTTGGAGCCACAGCCACCCTATAGTTATCCTAGCTTTACTCTGATTCCGATTGTATATTGTATTGGGGAAGAGGCCCGTGGCGATTATTTAAGTGGTTGTGATGGCATTGCAGGTGTGGCAGCCAGAAAGGAGATGATAATCCACATAGCATGGATACCCGCAAGATTAATCAGCTAGGCCTGTCCAGTTTCAAAACTCTCCCTGAAATGTTTGATGACTGTATCAAAAGCTTCCAAGAGAAAGGACTTCTCTAAGGCCCTCCATTAAATCTTCCTAAATCTTTCAACTAGTAGTGGTACTAAAGTAGTAGTAAGTCAACAATATCAACGGAATAAAGGGAAGAGAAGGCTTTTGAATGATTTTTTTTTTTTTTTTTTTTTGAGAAACCAAAGGCTTTGAATGAATAAAGCAAAGAGAGTTATAGAGTTTGCATGGAAAGATCTGTCTCGCTAGCTCTAAATGAAATTTTCATTTAAACATTCCACTAAAGTAGCAACAAGGGCTCGGAGTTGTTAACTGACCCAGTTCCAATTCTCTCAATAAAACCTCACCAAAAAATACTGCACTAAGCAAAGTTAGTATCCAATATTGTTGAACAAAACTATTGAACTTCTGGGATGATTAGCATGAGGAAATGGAAAAACTATGTGTAAACCTGAGGTAGACGAAAGTCAGATATTACCATCTTGTCTTCAATTGTTTTACCTGTCTTGGGCATAATATACCAGTGGAGAACAAGTTGGATCTTCTTACCACGAAGATGGCTTCCCTGGACAGAAAAGACAGTAAACATGAATATATTGCACTGAAAGCTCCGTTTGGAAAAACTGCAAATGCAAATATGTATAGTGCAAAATACAAGATATAGAAATACCACATATAAGGTTTTGCGCTGTACATATTTGTATTTGCACTCTTCCCAAACTGAGCCGAAAGCCCAAAACAACATATCAATGATGTATGGCAACAAAAGAATAAAACAAGGAAAAAAATGCAGCAGAAATTACCTGATCAATGAAAGGATACTTGTTAGTGATCTGAGCTTCAAGTTTTGCATGGCCTTTGTCTTGGATTATATGGTCCCACAATGACACCTGGATATGGATGAAAAAGTACCATAAGTACAAGCTGTTGTTCTCCATGCACTATGGCAGCTCTGTGCTTCAAGCCAAATGACCAGAAATCCAAAGTCCAAACAAATGCGCTGAAAGATTAAATAGAACCTCCGTAACCATTGTACAACATACTACATGTTTGTCTTGCAGCAGTAGCCTTCTTGATACATATAGCTTTTATAGGCAAAGTTCCCAAGCAAGGTTCAGAAGCATCTTACAAGCTATAGCTTTTATAGATGCCATTGGGATTGGAAAAACCAAAGCCATATGCCCATATGCTTCAGTAAACAATCACCAGAAACCCACCTAATACGGATAATTAGAGCAAAATGAACAAGCAAAACTTCATGGTCTGCAGGAACCATACAGATCTTTGTGGAACCAATATGTTGTTTCTATTTTGCCTATATAATCCTTTAGTCTTTTTAAGGCTTGAATCCATAATTTAAGTTACAACAAGGAACACCATACAATTTGGCTGTAGGGTCAACACCATATAACCAAAGGTAAGTACAAACAATTGACACCAAGAAACTGAAAGGATTGTAAATAAAAAAAAAATGGAGAAAATTGCATTATCTTTAAAAAATGGTAGCAACAATCAATGTTTCTGCTTTTTTTCTCTTAAAAGAATGTAGAATTGAGAATCCTCAGGATCTAACTATTAGCAATGTTTTCTTTTGTGTTCTTCTAAATGATTTAAAATCAAAAATAATAACAGGCACAGAATCAGTCTACTTGAGCTGTCAAACAGAGTAACAATTTGACTGAACCATGCTGACTGGTTTTTCCTGAACTGGGTTGAATGGTAAACATATTAACATAATATAGATAAGAATATAAGATATGTACATGAAGGTTGTATATAACAAGATGCTACATACAGAACATGAAGCTTGTGTACAACCACGTTGGTTGTGGTTTTGCAAGAAACAATAGAAATCGATGATGGTATAAGTAATTCAAACAGGCAGTTCAGTGAATTTTTAAATATTTTTTCAAAATAAAGCCTTGACTGCCCTGCAAGGATGATATTTCAAACAAGGTACACCAATAGAAACAGGATATTTTATCCTGAGAGAAAATTATTGGATTTACCAAAGGTATTCCAGAAATTAGAATACAAAATAATTTACTTCTATCATTCACTAGATCCTACTTATGTGTACTTCCAAGCAGTGTGTGTAAGTTCCAACAGTTCTACATCTTGAGCTAGTCAAAAGGATGTTTGGATGTACAAGCAACAACTAAACAAAAATATAAAAGAAAAAGAGAAAGAGCATCTTGGAGAAAAGTTGGCAGCATTATATATGAGGAGCTCATTGGTGGTAAGTTCACTCCCTTGGGAAATTTTCATAACCCTAATCAAAATTTTGACAGGGCCTCTTTCTAATGAGGTTCCTCAATTTACCAAATCATGCACATCCAGTGTTGCATGGAAGCAAAAATGTAAATCAGAATTCATCAAAAAAAAATGTAAATCAGAATGCAATGTGTTACTAGGAGTCTGACTTGACAAGACGAAAAAAACAGGATATGTAGGCACGTCCATACTAAAGTATAAAATAGTCCATATTATTTTGAATTTTAACATTATATCTCTATAAAAAAAGGTCTGATTCTAGAAGTTTATCTTTGTTACTTAATAACAGTTGACAGAAAAAGAATGGCATTGTGTACATTAGCTGTTCATTTTTTTTTTTGATCAATAGTTAGCTGTTCATTTATGTAAATACAAGTATATAAAAGAGAATTTTATGTCAAAGTGTCCATTGAGCATCGATGGACTGTCAGAATCTGACACGTGTCCTACCTACATGGGCACTTCATCCATTTAAAACACTAGCATTATATGGTCCTAGGCATCAACCAGGTGACTAACCAGGTGGCTGGTATAAATGAAACATCTTAGTGGGGGAAGAACTCATAATGTCTGCATCTTAGTAGGGGACAATAACCACGAGTGACTGTAACCCATTTTGAGTATTAGATAGATAGATAGATAGATAGATAGATAGATGGCAAATTCCGTGTATCCAGCCATATCCTTTCCATATCTGTGTAACAAAGTACCATTTAGGCATTTACTGATTTAATTTGCAGTTTAGTAGTATATAATTTAAACTGTGGATTACTATGGTTGAAGATGCTTAAATTCAAGTTTCATCTCTAGTGGAGATGTGTTTTGGACCAAGACCCAAGGCCTTGAGAACAGTCTCTTACAAGAATCTAAACATGTCTCTTATAATGATTAATGACCTAGCCAATATTCTTTAGTGTAGTAATGTGAAGTGTAGACATAAAACATAAAAAGATACCTACCACTAGAAAGTTGAGAGTAACTAATATTATCAATATATAGAGGTCCAAATGGACTACAGAACCTAATAAGGGCCCCAAGGTTTCACCTTCTCTAGAAACAATTCTAGACTGTACCTTAGGCCAACTAGTTAGAGCTAGAAGTGATGTTTAGCTTCATGTACATATTATGCCAAAAAAAGGACACGAAATCTAGTTCCAACAAGACACAATGCCAACATATTAAGCTAGTCCAATAACTTAGAAATTGAAACTACAAATTAAAAAGATACATAAAAAGGTAAAGCCTCATAAGCACTAAAATCATTGGGACATGAAGCAGCATTTTTTGTGCTGATGGAATTAAAAAATAAGACAAACCTGATTCAAGGAATTCTTTGCAGTTTCATACTCAGCTGCAACAAATACAAAAACCTGCAATTCAATCATGTTTAAATAAAGATCAATATAAGCTAGGACAATAGTAGAAAAAAAAAAAAAGTGCACAAATGAGTTGATATATAGCACAGAACTTCATTGCAAGTTCTGTAAGGAAGCTTGAACTTTGCTATTCTTAAAGAATTTCTTCATGTTTGATGTCTTTGAGGGGCTCCTCATTGATTAAGGGCACTCTTCTAATGGTTTATATTGGAAGGCAGAGACTCAGATTCAGGGATCTTTTGCCAATATAATTGACTGCATAATGGGTATACCAGTATATGTGATACTCAGATTTTGTATGGTATACTCCTAGGAGTGCCAACAAGAAAGCAGATTCCCTTCCTAAGGAAGCAGTTGTAGGCCCTCGTTGGGGAAATCACCATCTCTGAAAATCTTTATCAGAAATCATGAATAAATATTGGTTAAACTTACATCAGGTTCATCATCTTTGGACTTATGGACAACAATTCCTGGTTGCAGCGCCATAATAAAATATGATGCATAAAAAGATTCTTTTCACACAAGCACTAAAAAAAGGTGGATATCATCTAAACAGAAAGATGTATCATACCTGCTTGGTGTTCCAGGTAAATGTTGACCGTAAATTCATGGATACGTTTAATGTCAAGCTGACCTGTGAAAGCAAGAATAATTACAAAATTCAACATGCAACTAAGATATTGTCCAATCAGCAAACTAAGTCAAAAGAGATTGTTGAACCTGTAGAGAGTGTTTAACAGAATTGAAAAAGAAAAGCGAGAAAGAAAGAAAAAGAGTCAGTAAAAAGGGTCACCAAGACTGCCAACAAAGATAACACCCCCATCAATTATCACTAAATGTGCATTTTCCAATGACATGTGGACCCAACAAAACATCAGAAAAGGTGTTTTCTTAATTGGAAACTTCCTTAAAGAAAGCTTTAAAATTTTATTGGAATACCAACCATCCACAGTAAGTATGGTAGAAGCAGTTTGGGAAGGACATTTGTTTTCCCTACTTCCAAATTTCCTTATAAATATCAAGGAGTCTCTAGAAGGACATCATGTAACTCTTGACTATTAAATCCCTATAGAATTATATGCATATGAATTGAAAGAGTTCAAGATGTGATCATATATAATGGTAAATGTTATCATTATTTTTCTCAAAAAAAACATAAATGTTATCATTATGCCTTTGACAGCTATTAGAGGTCTAAGATGTAAGTTGACCAGAATTGTACCTCATCATTTCCAGTCAGCTGCTTCCGAAACCGATTTACTTTCAGGACCTAGAGAAAAGGCCAACTACAGAAGTATGAGAACATAGAGTTAACATCTAGCCACCTGATGAGTGTCTAGTAAGAAAAGGGAAACAGAACATCTAATCATGAGAACAATATGCAGTAACTGTTTGGTATAGTGGTAAAATCTCAGGCTGACAAGTGGAAGAAAACAGGTTCAAATATGACAGCAGCCACTTTGTGCAAAAAGAAAATGCCAAAGGTCAGGTTCATATCCAGTCTACCCATCCCAAGACCAGATAATTGGGGCCACCAATGGGTAATCAGCCTTACTGTTCGCATATGAAGATAAAGATACAGAAAGTACCATAAGAGCAGAACAAGACATAAAGTACTACAAGTTCAAGCATATATCCCAAAATAGTAAATACCAGATCATAAATTTTCTACTCTGCAATCAATTTGTCCTTCTAGCAAAAGCATCTTAAATAGGGGATTTCACAGAAGATATCACAATATGGACAAGAAGAAATTGATAGAAACCATTAAATGAACAATGGTTCTCTTTTCTTTTTATTGGAAAAAACAAGAACACTTTACAATAGATAAAGAAAAGGGAAAATAATCAGGTCTTTACTAGAGAAAGCTTTAGCAAGTTTTCCTAGCAAATAGGCCTAGATGGTAGCTCATTCATTTTCACTCTGTAATTACCTTGGCACCATTAGAGAGAAGAAGAGAGATCTTCATAGTATTCATTGATCTAGAGGAAGTATATGATAAAGTCCTCAAAGAGATAATATAGTGGGTTTTGAAAAAGAAAATAGTGCCAATAAGATACGTGGACTTAACTAAGGACATGTATGAGGGAAATCAACCAATGTTGGAACACCTATGGGAGAGAAACCAAGTTTCTAGTTACAAATGGGGCTTCGCCAACGATTAGCACTCAACCCTTATTTATTTGCATAGACATGACTGAATTGACTAAACATATTCAGAAGTTAGTCCCATGGTGCATGTTATTCGCTGATGACATAGTATTAATTGATGAACATAAAGAAAGATCAAGTGTAAAATTAGATTTATGGAAAAATGCCATAGAAACAAGAGGTTTTAAAATAAGTGGATTAGAGACCAAGAAATAGGAGTGGAAATTGGGATATAGATTGGAGACCAAGAAACATCGCAATATGACTTCTTCAATTACCTTGGTTCGATAATCCATAACAAGGGAAAGATTAAGGAGGATGTCACCCATAAAATTAGAGCAGAATGGGCAAAAGGGATGGTGCATCCAAAGACTTGTGCAATAGGAGAAAACTACTTAGGATTAAAGCAAAATATTATAAAAGGGTTATAATGCCAGAAATGTTACATGGAGCAAGGTGTTGGACAGTCAAGAAGAAACATATCCAAAAAATAATTGTGGTGGAATGCAAATGTTGAGATGGATGAGTAGGAAAATTAAAAAGGATAACATCAAGAATGAACTTATTCAAAGGAACCAAGGATTAGCTCCAATAGGTAATGAAATAAGGGAAAGTAGATGAAGATAGTTTAAACACATGCAAAGAAGACCAACTACAACATGAGTAACAAGAAATATTCTGTTACAAGTTGAAAGGGTTAGAAGAGTTCAAGGCAGCCCAATAAGAACATTGGTTGAAGTAGTGAGAAATTGAGAATGATTTAAGGACCCATAGTTTAATGGTAGATATGGCACTGAATAGAACCGAATGGTGGAAAAGGACTCATGTCGCCAACCCCATATAATTGGGATTAGGCTTAGATGATGATGATAGTAATGAATTATTTTCTCTCCATTTCAAAACATCTTAAAGAGAGATAGCCTGAGGAAGATTGAACCACCAAGCAGACAGTGTTTCCCTTCTAGAAATAAGTCAATAGTTGTCCTCGCGTCAGTTTTCAAACTATGTTAAGCAGGAATTGGATGAACCTTCTCAAAGCTTGTAGACAGGTTAAACCTAGACAAAGTTGGAAATAAATAGTTCTTGATAATAATAGATTTCTTAGCAACTGCATTTCTTTCAGTTCAAGAGTAACAAATTTTGGTTATAGAAGTGTTTAAGCTACACAGAATGTCCACGCTATTTTTGGTACTTGATAGGGGAGGTTGGAGATGGTCTTATAATTGCAAACACTAAGGACTTCTCGAAGAATAGGGACTAGGAACTACTCATATTTTCTTTCCTTTTCATACGATAAAACCGGTTGACTTCACATTAACCACTACTATATTGCGAAATTAAACCTGCAAAGTTCTACCCCTAATGCTGTTTTCATGAAAGCAGCATCCAACAAAATCATATAGCATGCAGCAAACTACTCAGTATCAATGTTCGTTACTTCGTTTATGCAAATTTCTTGTGGTGGCTTCTATTGATTCATACATAATATCCAAGCAGTAAATTCTGAATCACATAATCATAAATCTTCCATGCAAGGTAACATTCGACATTGATAAAGGAATGTTATAGCACCAAAAGCTCTATCTCAATCCCACTATATTGAAATCGGATTCTGAATTCCCTTCTCCTGTAAGCCCCCAAACGAAACAAATAGAAACAGGAACCGATTAAAAGTAGTAAATATTAGTTCCAACATTATTTAAATCAAAAAAGGGAAATTTATAACAGTAAAAGTTCAATGAAATCTCAGGGAAAAAAAAAACATATGAGCAAAAATTGGAACTGAGAGTGGATGTGAAAGAATTAGGTAGGCTGCGTGTTATTACCTCGGCGTGGGCAGTGACGGAGGGCACATGGAAAGTATCAGTGAAGGAAGCCAATGAGCACATAACAGCCAGCAGGAAGCCCGCTAAGGTGATGAGTGTGTTCAAACGATACAAAACCGAATGCATTTTGCTCTTCTTTCTTCGTTTTCTTCTTCTTTTCAAATAATTCCTCTAAAAAGTCTCCGAGGCGGGTTTCAGACAGTTCAGACACAAATCGGAGATCCCCTCCCTCTCTCTCTCTCTCTCTCTCTCTCTCTCTGCTTCCTTTCTTTCAGCGAGGTGACGACGATGATCCAATGAGAGTGCTTGAAACCGCCAGGTATCAATTACCTTTGAATGTACGGTAAAACCCTTGGGCGCTGATTCGGGCTGTTGTCAAGCTTTGCCAAATACGAAGGGTGCTTTGGTCATTTAAGAATATACAATTTTGACCAATTTCAATTCCCTCGCTGCCGTAACTAAGACTGTAATCAGATCGGATTCGGATACGGTTGTAATCGTGTTGGATTCAGATTTATTCCATTTCACTTTAATTGTGTAAAATATGAAAAGGAATTAAAATTTTAATTACTTTTCAATTTTTATATATAATAAATTAATAGAAATACAACATACTGAATTTAGTATATATATATAATATAATGGAAAAATCTATGATACAGGAAAGATATGATATGAAAAGAGTTTTGACCAATTAAAACCCATCCATGAATTTTGATAAATGAACCTGATTTACTATTACGTTTATGATTCCAATTTATTGGTCAATTGTTTTTCCAATATCATAGTCTAACTCATAATATAATATATATTTTGTAGTTTTAAATATAATTATATAAATTTTATATATTAAAATCAATAAATATTATAATATAATTATATTCGAATTTTAACTAAATTGAATAGAATCAAATCCAAAACCTAATTCAGTTATTAATCATATGCAGATTGTAAAATTTAAATCCAACCATAACTCATAAGGATCAAAAGGGCTGATTGGCTGAAGAGTGTCTTGGGCCTGGAGTAAAATTTAAATCCAACCATGCCTCACATGACATATTCACATATTACAAGAATCAGGATCTAACTCAGGGCAGCCCAGACCCGGGCCCGAGCCAAGGCTATAAGCCTATTTAACCCTAACCCTACCACAATGCCAAGCACGATCCTTAATCACTCTTCTATAGCTCTATGTCATGGAAGCTTTAGACCTTTAGCATATCAGTGTTCTATCCGGATGTTGAAGTCTTGAAATGACTACTTGTAAAGGAAGTTGGATTTTTCTGAATATTGAATCTGGTTACTCAAGCCATCCTTTTCCAACATGCTTCCACCTGTTCGATCTAATGTATCAAAGTATAAAGTAGGAAAAATCACTTTCTATTTCTTGGTTTTCTTTTAGCAAGGCATCTCGTGGTCTTGCCATTGCTGATGGCAGATGTTGTCATGGTCTATTGGTCTTCGACAACATGACAAAGGCTTGCTTATAATGATACAAATTGATACAGGGGTTCATGTCATGTTATAATAATACATATGGGAATGCAGGGATAGATATATCAAAAAACGGGATGTGCCCGAATCTCACCCTTTATTTCTTGTGTTATTGCCACAAAACTCCGTACTCCATAAGTCCATACTCCATAGTGTCTGGCCCTATCAAAAAGAACACAAAAAAGGGCTAAACTTAACTTTATTGAAGAAAAAAAAAGGAAGAAAGTAAAAAGAAAGCTTTATACATAAGAAGGGGAGGATGTTGGGGCTTTTAACTTGTGCATCCACTAGTAGTAGTAGTAGACTAGTAGTAGGGCTGGAGAATTATAATTGTCAAATGGACCCACTAGCCACACCATGTTCACCTTCAATTCAAGGGCAGCCATCAAAGGTTTCCAGCTTTGGAGTGTGGAGAGCACAGAGCAGAGCAGAGCGTTGCGCCTGCGGCCTGCCCTAGTTGAACATTTGCACTGCGTGGGACAACGTTTATCACTGGATTTCTGTTGGTGAAGTCTTGTCACATACCAACCCCAGCGCCCATGATCCACGTCCTGGATGGGCAATTAGTATGTCCAGGACACTTGTCTCTCCTGACTCCTCACTCTTATTGGAACACAGCTAGAGAGGCCTGGACCCCAGTCAACAAAAATACAACACCATATGAGCTTCCACATTTTTCTTTACTTCGCTTCACGTTCAAGCCAAGACTGGACAAGGACGTCTCACCCAAAGTCCCGTGTTTAGTTCCTTCTTCCCAGTGCTCGCTCGGTGTGAACTTGGTATGTGACTCCTTGGCCGTAGGCCCTCCCTGTATAGACAGACTATTCTAGTATTCCCATCCCATCTTTGAAGCCAACCCAGCCTTAGCTTAGGCATACAGAAACTTTTTGTGAAGACTGAAGAATAGAGGATGCTATGCTCCTTGATGCCCCATTTTGTAGTATTGATATGTAAAGTAAGGAAGGAGCCAACAAAATGTGTTTGTGTTTCGTTCACAACTTTACATGGCGCATGAGACCATTTCCTTAGCATATATCATGATTATTTATTTTCTTTAGTATGTTGATGAGTCATGATTAATAAGTCACTGCTCCCTGGAGAAAAAAGTATTCACTCGTGTGATTGATTTACTAGTCCCTTTGTACAGCAATTCGACCAGTAGACATGGACGTGCGAGATTAGTATTTCCGAACAGGTAAATAAAAATAAAGTAAAGCAAAAATGGATTCCTAATTTCTCACTAAGAAGTCAAGATACCAAGTATTTAAGGTATTGGTATGATATTCCTGATACGGGGTATATAGTATCCATATCTATGGTCATGGATATGGGATACGTCACAAGTGGATATGTATCCCATGAGTCATGATACACCTCTATATCAAGCTAAATCACGTTGTATTGGTGGATTCAGTCTGATACGCACTAAAAGGGAGGCATATCCCCATTCCTAGTTTGACAAAACTGTATATTGACTACATTTGGATTGTTTTTTATCTTTAATAAAAATTAAAAATATTATTATAAAAACTGAAATGAATAATTTAAGATTTAACTTTTCAAAAAAAATTATAAAAATAATATATTTCATCTACCTTAGATGATTTATATATTTTATTTTACACATAATTATATGTTAAAAATGAAAGCATAGTTATTATTTGAAAAAATAGAGTTACTATATAAAAATGCTAAGTAAATAAATTTTCCCAACAAAATTAATGAAACACAGAAAAGTATAATTATAAAAACTGAAGTGAATAATTTAAGATTTAATTTCCCCAAAATTATTTAATAAAAACTGAAAAATATAAATAATTTATTTTATCTACCCTAAATGATTTATATATTCTATTTTACAATTATGTGTAAAATAAAAGCATTACATGTTAAAAATGAAAGCATGTTTATTATTTAAAGAAGAGTTGTTATTTATATAAAAATATTAAATTTAATAAATATTCCCAAAATTTAATAAAATAAAAAATTATAATTATAAAAATTGAAAGAGTGATAACTATTGTATGATGTTTGAATGTTCTAAAGTCTCGATATTGTTTGTTGTAATGTTTCTCTTCATGTAACTTATTGAAGTATGAATTTCTCATGTGTTTAACCTTATTCATAGATAATTCAACTTTTGGTTTAGCATTATTAATGTATTTATGTGATTTGTAGGCATTTTAGTAGGATATCCAAGTATTTCTATATATTTTATTCATATTCATGCGTTTTGAAGGCATATCTATATCTATTTCCAACTTACCCAATAAGGATAATTTTATCCTTGAAAGTAGCATTCATCCGTTACAATTTACAAATTTAGAATTGCCACAGTACTTGATAAGCATACTATCCCTCTTTAGAAAACAGGAAGACACGGACAAGTACTGTTTGGTAATGAAGTTGCATAGAAAATTCGAGTTGGTACGTTTTACAAATGTAACAGACAAGGACCTGGGACCAGTGACCACAGCACAAGTTGTGCTATTGTGGTTTGGTCCTTTTGTAATCAGAGCGTCAGGAGTCAGGCTCTCTCAGAGTCGATTGTTTGTTCAGACTTTAGACTTGAGAGCTGAACAAAAAATTAGCATAATGAGATGGCTTGGAGCCCTTTTGATTTATGCCCTCTATTTTAAAAGTTTCTAACGTTTCTTCTAAGGTTCGACAGTATATGCCACACTTCATTTCACAAACCAATGTAGAGCCAGACCCAAAGACCCAAGCTTCTTGCCTTTTGCAAGCTTACAATATATTTGGGTGATAATGAGTTGGGTTGGGCCTCGATTTTAGACACTCTAGAAAGTGAGCACGCACCCACATCGAGTTTCCTTTGCCACCCACTAGAAAGGAGGAGCCGGTGCTATTTTAATGATATCCCAATTCCCATACATAGGCCATAGACCATAGGGTTTGGTTTGGCGTTCAATGTTAGCACGTGCCAACTCCCATTTGAAAACTTGGCTACTTCTCCAATGCTTAGCCTTATAAAGTTACAAATACTATACACAACACAGTCTCCACCGAAAGCCTGGGCTTTGCAAAACTGCGAGTTTGCCACAGTAATCAGCTCCAAACAAAGTGAAAGAAACAGTGGAAAGTTGGAAACCCTTTTACAAAGGATTAGCAATCCCCTCTCTCCATGAAAATGAAGCTCACAGTCACAGGTTCCAGGCCATGCGTTGAAAACGTGACATTCCCTTCGTCAAGCTATATGCATGAGTTAGTTGAGTTTACTTACACATACACATTGGGTTGGGATGCGCAGTGGGATGCGCTCCGTGGGGCGCAGATGTGAATTCCCACAAGTTCTACACAACAAATACATATATCTTATTAAAATAATTCAATAATCCAGAAATTCAACGTTCTCTTGTCTTCATCTGGGCTGGACTACAGCTAGACTTGCGCTGTACCCTGTTGTAGTAGATCGAACGATGAAAACGCTGTACACAGGCACAACAGCTGATGTGGAAAGAGCAAAATGGACATCGAGAACAGAGATGCATAGAATGATCCAATAATCCACAATCTTATCACCAAATCCATTCCAACGGCCAGAAAAAAGAGAGCTCAAGTGCTCACAAACTCACAAGACAGCCATCCAAACCACCTTCCCTGGAGAGAACCGAGAGGTCCGTCTGTTAAGAGAGCAATGTACCCATGGTAGTTAGCACTTAGAGCACGCAGAGTGTCTCTCTCTAAAACCAAAAGCTGTTTATCAACCCAGAGAATTAACAGAAAGAAAAAGAAAAGCCGAGTCACCACTGCCAGCAACAATAAATTCAGCCATCCCCTACGAGGACGAAGGGGGTTAAAGCTTGAAAAAGTAGGTAAAATATAAATACTAAAGACAGACAATCCATAAGACTGAAAAGTAGAAAGAAAAATACCAGGATGAATAGAAAAAACACCCATTCAAGCCACGAGATCAATAGAACGAACGGTTAGAGCTTGAAAAAAAAGAGATAGATAATACTTGAATCACAAAATTTAATTTGATTTTAGAATTATATAATTAAAAACCCACCTTCCTCCATAATCAATTTGCTACAAAAGAATCCAATTCTTTATCTTCGTAATGCAAAGAAGATGCTTCAACAACCTCCCTCAATAATGTCAAACAAATGATGTAAAATTCCACATAAAATACTAAACTCATAATATTATATTCCATCAATTAAAAAAGAAATCAAGCATAGCTGCTCAATCTCAACCAAACACAAAGTTGAAAGACCGGGAGAAAAGTGCAGAGAGATGAACAATATCTTGACCGGTTCAACACTACTTCTGATGACTCTCTTGTTGAGGAAAGTAGAAAATCTTGGGACGGCTCTAATAGCACAGAAAAACCCAAGAACTCTCCCCCGCACTCCGAACTCATCTCTCTGTATAAACAAATAAACGAACTCAACCACAAAACCCTCTCTCTCTCTCTCTCTCTCTCTCTCTCTCAAGAGCTTCTTCCTTAAGCTCCTAAGAATTTAAAAAGAGATAAATGAACCACTGTAACGACTAACAAATAGCTCAAACTCCTAACTACAAAACTTATGGGCAGGCAATATTAAGGGATTCATCAATCCACGCCAATTCTTCGGCGCCCAGATCGAAGTCAAAGTTGGGAAGATCACTCGGGTCACGGTCTTCAAATCCGTAGAGTGGAATCTCAGAGAAGTCGTAGAAATCTTCAAAAGCATGCCCAAAATCGTTGACGAGGAATGAATCCAACTCAAAACTAAGCTCAAGATCTTCCGCCATTGGTGATGAAATTACTGGCAATGGTTCCTCCTCTAGGAAATCTGAGATGGGCTGATGCTTTTCTGGTTGTGGCTGCTGCGACTCTGCATTTCTTGTGGAATGTTGTTCTTCTTTGGTTTGCGAGCCAGCGCAAGCCACATGTGAGGCTGCAGTGGAGACATCGAGAACCGAAGATGGGGACGAGTGAGAGAAAAGACTCTCAGAGTCCTCAGAAACACAGGACTGAGTCATAGAACCTGCTGCAGAAGACGATGGTGTATTGTGGTTGCCATCGTTGTTTTTGATGCGCCCGCCTGAGAGAGACATGCTCTCTATCTGAAAACTCTTCGAAGCGGCTTCATATGCCTCAGCGGCCTCTTCAGCAGTATCATAAGTACCCAACCAGACTCGAACCCCTCGGATAGGGTCTCGAATCTCCGCAGCCCATTTGCCCCATCTCCTCTGACGAACGCCCCTGTATTTGGAAGAAGATCTGGGCGTCCTCGTCAAACCCCTTTTACTAGGGTTTTTGCCAGACTTGTTAGGGGTTTTGGCACCATTGTTACTATCTTGAGAAGAGCTCTCTGTTTCAGCAAAAGATGATTGAAAAGGAGAAATCGGAACACGAATCTCACGAATCAGACGTTTACAACCCACGCCATTCCTCCTTTCATTAGTTTCGTCTTCACTGGACGAAGAATCAGTCGCATCGGGGTCGTAACAGATAACACGGATTTTTCTCATCGTTTTGGTCTCCATCTCTTCGCTGATAAAGCTTTGTTTCTTCTTCTGCTTCTTACATACCTTATCTTGATTCAAAAGCTGCCTTTGAGGGCCTGGCATTTCTAGAAAGAATGCAAAATAAAATCTTCCGCAAATCCCAACCCCCGAAGAAAAGAACCAAAAAATATCTCAGAGAAAAGAAATATATTAGAAAGAAATCTCTCAAAGCCTCGGTATCAAGTAAGAACTCCTCTCAAGAACAAAAAGAGATATAAAAATCGCTTTATGTGAAAACCCACAAAGCATTCTACTCTCGAAACAGTCCTGCAAAAACCCAAAACCCCAAAACCCATTAAAAACCCACATCGCAAAATATAGAGACAAATAAAGAGAAACAAGATATCAGACATTCATGAAAGAAAAAATAAAGTATACCGTTTTGACCTCAAGCGCATCGAATCGGTTAGCGACCCCTTTTTCGTCCAGTGCGGGAGAGGTGAAAGTCGCATGCAGAGCCAGAAGAAGAAGAAAGTGAAGAAACTCGAGAATGAGAGAAACAGAGAAGAAAGCCAGAGCTGCTCCGGAGCTCTAATCAACAGATCAAAACTAGCCGACATAAATTCGTCACTCCCACCTCCTTTTCTCCTCTCCCTCTCTCTCTCTCTCTCTCTCTGCTTCTTCAGGAAAACCCCTTCCTTCTTTCTTCCAACGAAAAAGAGAAACCCAATCACCAACTAAAACATAAAAAGAGCGAACAAAAGATTAAAAAATTAAAAACGAAAACAAAAAAAAAAAACAAAAGGATGACGAATCTATGGCTGCGATTTATCTCCTCACAACATGACAAAATCCTTTCGGGTTATTTCCAATTACTTGCCTGAGAAAAACCCAAAACCCAAAGAAATAGATGGAGAGTAAACTACACAGAGCGTGAAGGCAACACAAATCTCTATAGAAGAAGTGAAGAACCCAAGAAAAATTAAAAAAAAAAAAAAATCTTATAATGATACCTTGGTTGATTCTCTACATATATATATATATATTCTTGTCTGATCTCTGTTGCTCTGTTCTTCCCTCTCCCTTTCTTCTCCTTTGGCTCTCACAGACTCTCTCTCACTCGCCCTCACCTTTCCCCAAGCGGTCAAATGCATTAACGAGGAGGAAAGCTAATATTATTAAATGTAAAAAAATAAACGGAAAGCCGATGAACCGCCATATGGCATGAGTATGGAGCATGTGCATGCATGATGCATGACTCTCCCTCCCTTACGAGTTACGGCTTACACCATCTGTCTTACCATGTATACCTAATGCATGCATGACAGCATGAGCATGACATGCCATGCGGCGCCACCACTATTAGACATTAGTCAGAGGAGTATAGTTTGTTACGGTTTCCGAAAAGGAAGCGTCGTGGATTTCCATCTTTACAGCTCCTCCTCTCCTTGTCTTTTTATTAAAGCCCTCGTCTTCTTCTTATTCACGGAAACGCCACAAGAGTTTCGTTACTTACTGGTTCCTGAATTTCGTCTCGAAACGGAAACTTCACCGTCCACAACTGTATATCCGAAACTTCACTATTCGCAAATATATCTCTCCGAGATTTTGTGCTTTGGTACTGAGGCTGCAGATAAGTCGGATCAGTTGCGATTGAAATCCGAATTCGATTCGACCGATCTGATCACATTCGAATATATTCTAATTCAATCCACCACGATCCGATCCTATTCAATTCGTTAATTATGAAATATAATATATTATGTATTATGTATTAAGACTGCAAACGGATCGGATCAAATCGGATATGTCTTATATCCGAGTTCGATTTGTTAACATTCGAAATCCGAATTGGATCATACTTGTTAACATTCGAAATCCGAATTGGATCATACTTATCAAATATTTAACGAATTCGAATCGAATTCGGGTTGTAATAGGATATTAAATAGTATGAATAAATTAGACTAAAAATGACTAATATATTATATATTATTAATAAGATGAGATAAAAATGGCTTTAATAATATATTATAGAATTGAAAACTATTTATATAAAATAACATATGACAATCTAGTGAAAAATATAACATTAAGAGTAATAAGACCAATTTTATTGATAAATATAATATAATTTTTAAGAATATATGAGCATATATTTAAATTGAATTAAATCGAATTACATCGAATTAGATAGGATAATCCAATTATAAACGAATCAAATTCAAATCGAACTTAATAGGATCGAACTTCAATTCAGAATCAAATTCAGATATTCAATAAAATATTCAAATTCAAATCATAATTTTTAAAATCCGACTGATTCTTATTGGATTCAGATCAGTCAAATTGTTGGGACCGGATATACCCCTTACCGAATCCAATCCAATGCCCATTTTATAGCATATTTATTCAATTATTTATTTTTTTTATATGGTTTGTCTCGTGGTAACCTGAACCCATAATCTTCGTATTCCTTGCACCCCAAGAAAATTTACTTTGTTAAATGATTAATTTCTCATCATTTTTTAAATGCTTACCTTTTATTATTTATTTTTTTGTTGTTTCTAATTAATCCTCAATCACAATTCATTGATTCATTCCTTCCTTTTTTTTTTCCTTTTGATACAAACAATTCATTCCTTAAAACTTGAAAGGAGCCTTCTTCCAAACAAGTAGATGAAGTTGACTTTAAGTCAACTAAATGGTGGGTCCATAGCCATTAACAAATTAGGCTTACAACGAAACAACCCTATTGGTTCAAATTTTATGTCAATGTTTCATCATGGAGGAGATGGAATAATCAGACGTTTGAGATTTATGCCTCGTAGGGTAAAAGAGTTGAAAAAAGAAGAAAATGCATTCATGGGACCAGTGAACAGTGTACGATGTGGATTGTGCCATTATGGAGCATATAGAGAACTGTCGGATCATACAGAGCTTTCATCAGATCTTCTAAAATAAATGCTGAGCTTTCATCAGATCTTCTGAAAGAAACGCTAAGCTGCTGAACATGACATATCGGACTTTTACGGAATCAGGCTGCTGAATTGAATTCATCAACAGACGGCTTTGATCGTTTTATTCTGAGGGCCCATTAAGTAACGTTTAAGCTTACAAAGTTACAATGCTGTGATATGGGCTTGTTTTTTTAAAGAATACGGTCATGGATCATCGTATAATATTGATATTGTAGATCCACCAAAAAAAATCGTATAAAATTGTAGTCTGCGTCTGGGAAGCAAGGACGAAAATTTGGAAAGATTTGTTGTCTTGCAGCATCCGTGTATGATAATAAGATACGCGTGGGCCGTACGGTCATGGATGAGATGCTGTGATATGGGCCCACTTCGAAGTCCAAGTCAAAAAAAAAAAAAACATCACAACCATCCTATTTGTAGACTTCTTTATGGATGGTATTCATTTTATATTTTTTGCCAACCGAGCTTGTCGGTGCCAGAGAGACTGACCAGCCGGAAGGAGCAGAGTGTGCAGTGTACTGCTGCAGGACTATTACCGGCCAAAGCTGGGCCCGAACCCGAAGCCCATCCCAAGTCCGGCTGGTTTTAGCAAAATCGATGTTCAATGAAGTAGGTGTTGGAAACATAGCACCGTTTTCTATTGTAAGGTGTTTATTTTTTTATTTAAAACCGGTACTGCCACATAGAGAAAATAGTACTGGTTTTGTTTGGCATCGGTGATGGCAGTTAGGGGTGTAAATCATGTGGCCCGGCACAAAATTGGACCGGCCTGGCACGGTCTGGCACAAAGGCCCATGGGCCGTGCCAGGCTCGGCACGAAGGTTTGTGCCGTGTTGGGTTTGAGGTTTGAGGTTCACGGGTTGGTACAGTATGACACGATTATTCATGCCATGTCGCTCGTGGCCCGTGTGCCGGTATGGCTCAGCCCGCGGCATGGCTCGTACTACAACCCATCACGGGCCGACATGGCATGGCCCGCAAGGTCCATATCAGGCCGAGTGCAGCCCATCTGGAATATCGCCATTCCCCCCCCCCCCAAGGGGCCCAATGACTAGTTTTACCTTTTGAGGGGTTTTTACAAAAATACCCCCCAACAGATATAAATGCCCCCAACAACTATATAACAACTAGTTTATGGGGGCTTTTTGGGTAAAGTTATAAAATAACTTTACAATGACCAAAATACCCCTCCCAACAACTAAAAAATAGTTGGTTTTTAGGGTATTTTAGGCAATTGAATTATTTTTAATTCCTATAAATAACCCTATCATCCACCATTCTTCTCATCACACCAATTCAACAATCAACATTCAACGATTCTCTTATTAAGTTATTATCTTAATCTCTTCAGTCTTCCCTCCCTCAGTCTTTCATACATTCTATGCAATCTAACTATTTGAGTGAACTCTAATAATCTCACAGTCTGATTCTCCAAGTTAGCAATTTGGGAGGTAGAGGCTTGGAGGCTTGGACGTTGTCACGTTGAAAGGCTTTAATTGTTTAAATCAATTTGGGATTCTGAACCAACAACCCGGGACCGGGGTAAGTCCAATTAAATTAATTTTATTTTTTGAGAAATTGAAAAAAAAATGGCCAGTTCTTCTCAAAACCCCAAGTTTAATAGCCCAATTTGGAAAATATTTAAAATAGAGGATGTTGAGGGAAAAGGAAAAAGAAGAGTTTGCCAAAAATGTAGAAAAGACTCTAGCTATTGTAGCAAAGGGTGGTACTGGCTATTTGACCAGACATTTTCTTACACATGAGAAGGAAGAAGAAATAACTCATAATTTAAATGAATTGTTGAAATAATGGAAAATAAATTTTAAAAATATTGGGAGAAGTCAGAAAACATTTCTTGCCGCCAATCCCGCCATGGCACGTGATCCTTGATCTACTAACCCCTTCGGTGTCCATAGGCTACAGTTCCATTTGAGTCTTGGTTAATTGTTTTAGTGCAAGACCTACAGGTACCACTGTATCAGGGTTGGCTAGATGCAGTCATGAATCATGATGCAGGATATAGATTATAACTTTACAATTACAAGACAAAGGAGGGGATGATACTACTACATACACTGGATATTTCATTTTTCACATGAAGCATATGATGAAAGTGTGTGTGAACGCTTTCATCATAATGTATATGTAAATTTTAACAAATAACCCACAAATTTTTATTTTTTTTCAAATTATTGTAATTTTTGTTTTAATTTTACTTAATTTATTTGCTATTAATGTATATGTATTTTCATCCAAGTATGAAGTATGAAGTATCCAACCATTGTTTATTTCATAATTTCAATATTTGTATGCTTTGTAATTTGTATCATTATTCGTTCAAATTTAAATGAAATAAAATTCCTATTTAAATTGTTTTATACTTTTATTTATTTATTTTTTGGGTAATTGACAATTGTAAATTCGTTATTTGTAGATATAAGATATCCATTCAGTTTAGCCCGGTTCAGCCCATGCCGAAGGCCCGCCTTGTGGCTTAGTCCGGCACGACCCAAGCCCACGGCACGGCCTACAGCCTGTCTCGGCCCCACTTTACACCTCTACTAGTAATAACATTTTCAACATGGTCTATATTATTCAATTTTCAAGATTATGCCATATTGATGCCACATCATTGCACCGTTGGCATTAATGCACCATTTACTCAGAAAACATTGAATTTGGCATTGCTCTGGATAATACTTTCCTGATTTCTATGGTGTGGTCTAGAGCAACATTTTTTTCTAGAAAAATGGTATCAAACAAGAGGACACTGTTTAAAGCACCGCTTTCTCTGATGTGGCATCTACATGGTGTCGTTTCATTATTTTGTACCAAACAGAAAATGACATCAATGCCAAACACTATGGAAGTAAGGTTGTGTGTGCTATTTCAGTATTTTGTACTTTGTACAATACGCATCCCGCATGGGGCCTGCATTGACTGTGATAAAACGAATAGGAATTTCTTTCTGGTTAGATACTAGAGTGGGTCAAGTAAAACATTAAACCAATGTTTTAAAAATTGATCTGGAGCCAGATTCACTTTGGCCACTAGTTTTCGGGCCAACAGTTTGATCATTTTGTTTAAAGAGATTAGTTCGTGATATTTTAAGATATTAAAAAATAAGAAATCTCACTTTAGTACCCTAAACTTT